TGATGCATTCATGTTCAAGTGATAAACTATAAGCCTTATTCTGCCTAAATTTTGTAATCAAGTAGTAATAACTGAAGATCTGTCTAAGGAAGATTGGTTCTTCGTGCTATGCTAACTACAATGTAACTAAGTAGTAATAACTGAAGATCTATCTAAGGAAGATTGGTTCTTCGTGCTATGCTAACTACAAAAAGAATTTTTTAGTACAAAAATGATAGAGAATTCCTATTAATATAGTAACATATCATTTCATGTATTGCAGTTTTGAAAATATTAAAAATTATGAATGTTAGAAATTAAAAATGTGTGATAAGAATGCTTACATGTGGCTAAAATCAAAGTGAATTGTAATATGATTAATAAGACCAAACATAAAGTAGTAATAGAAATAAGTTATGTTGTTAGAGTTATAAAAGCAAGGAGTTAAGCTTAAATATTATCAAAGAGAAAGAATGAATTGTTTTCATTTGAGAATAGAAATGTTTTGTTGCAAATGAATGCTTACTTAAAACATTTTACATTCTTTTAGAACAATAGAATAGGATTAGTATGTAATCATATGAAAGAAAAGATACAATGCATCTCAAAGCTTAAGGAAAATTAGTGTTATTTGTCCATGTGACAACATTTACTTTACAATTATCTGTCAATCTTCTATTTATGAATTTAAATCATGTTGTCAAGTCTTACTATAAATCACTCTCTACTTTAATTCTGATATATACTTAAGAATCTCAACCTATTTTGCCAAGAAATTTAAGTTTAGTTTTGTGCCTTGTTATGTATCTTGAATCCCCTTAATTACTAGATACACACCATTAGCATATCATACTTTACATTGTACATGAATGTACACATTTGCACTACACTTCACCATTTATTTTCTTCATAAACTAAAATGACTGACTATTAAGGGGAATGAATTGGGATGGGTGTGAAGTGTTTTAAAAGTTGATGTATTATAAGTGCTTTCAAATCTTGCACAAACTTGTTTATTAAATTCTTATTCATGGAAGTAGTTTTTTTCTTCTTCTTCTTTAATCTTTTATTAAATCCATACTCCTTTATCATGTTTGTTATCAACATCAAACACCATAGCTAAGTGAAATCTAACTCTAAATGTTGATGTGTTATAAATGTATGACGTTGCTTGCATAATTTGGTACTATTGCATTGGTTTTATTAAATTTTGATTTTTTATTTTTGTTAAAAGAGACTAATTAATTTTTAGGGACAATTAGGTGAAAAAATACAAATTATAGGAATTATTTCTTTATTGATTCTTTTTTACTAGAGTTTTGAGTTTAATTTTATATCATGAATATAGTTGAAAGACCATTTTAATTTTACATCATGAATGTAGTTTAATTTTATATTATGAATTTTATTTTTAATTTTTACATTATTTTGTAATTTTAAAAAGTGTTTACATATTTAGAATTTGTTTGATATGTTATGTAAAGTTTGTTTTTACATATATGTTTTGAGCTTTATTTTATTTTTTTAACAATCATATTTAATTTTTTGTTTGTATTGTCCTATGTCTTACTCTTTATTCATTTTGTCATTGTTAAATTTTGTCTATCTTGATTAATTATGTTTGTTCTTTTATGATTTTGGAAGAAGATGTCAAGTTTAATAAGGAGACATGATTTTGTTTCTATCTTTGTTGATATTAAAAATTGTCCTATATGATTTATTATGTTTAGTTATTTTCATTTTACAATTTTGAGGGAAGAGAAAATAAGGATAATATGTTATGAAATGGGAGCATATTAGGTGAAGTTAAATTCAACTTATCATAGATCTCAAGTTCTAGTGTCATAAATTTACATGTTTTGATTGTTTATATGTCATTTTTAACTATGAATGTTATACTAAACAAAATGAAATTTTTGAAGTGCAATATTAGAATTTAAAAAAAAAAGTAAATTCTTGAATTTTGTACGAATTAATATTTGTGACGAATTTTTGTGACGGAAAAAATATCGTCAATAATAGTCACAAATTTTGTGAGGAAATTTTAATTTTTGTGATGGATTACCATTTATTGAAGTTTGTGATGGATTTTGTGACGGATTAAATTTTGTCTCTAAAAAATTCGTCACAAAATCTGTCACTGAATAAAAAAAATAAAATTAGTGACGGATAAAATTTTGTCTCTAAAAAATCCGTCACAAAATCCGTCACTAAATAAAAGATTAAAATTAGTGACAGATTTTGTGATGGATTTTTTAGCGAAAAAATTTAATCCGTCACAAAATCCGTCGCTAAATAAAAAAATAAAATTTGTGACGGATTTTTTAGAGACAAAATTTAATCCGTCACTGAATAAAAAATAAAATTAGTGACGGATTTTGTGACGGATTTTTTAGAAACAAAATTTAATACGTCACAAAATTCGTCACTGAATAAAAAAATAAAACTAGTGACGGATTAAGTTCCTCTATAAATATTCTCTCACAAAAATGCGTCATAATACTATAATAAATAAGTCAGTAACGTATTTTGTGACAGAATATTATTCGTAATATAATTATTATATATTATTATATTTTTATAATAATCTAATGGTTAATTTTACAAAATTCACATTTAATATAAAGTTATTAAGCGGTGTGTAATACTTAGTAAACGTTATACTGCTATTAGTATAATCATTCTCTCTCTTTGAGAGAGAAAGAGATAGAGAGAGTGGAAGAATCAAATAATTTATGAAATAACTCTTGGTAAAGTAATTCTGCTCAATAACTAATATGATCTTAATATATTTGTATAGAAATTAATATAGAAAAAATTAATTAGCTTTGAAATTAATTATTTGCTAATTAACAATATAATTGAAACATTAATTATTTTAAATTATTTAACTTAAATCTTATTGACAATTTACTATATGATCTTAATATATTTGTATAACTAATATTTGGTTTTAAATTTGATGTGAAAATATTATGATATAATTAGATAAGATTTTAAGTTAGTATTTTATTAATGGTTGATAATTAGAAAATAAAACATAAATTATATTATCATTATTTATTATAAAATAAATAATTTAAATTATAATTTTAAATAGAAATAAGTAGATTATTAGTTATAAAAGTAAGTATATATAAATAAAATTAATTAAATATAATAATAATATTATTATTATTATTATTATGCGTAATATAAAATTATTATATATTATTATTTTAGTACAAGTATGAGATTGTATAATTGAGGATGACTTAAATGAATTAATTTATACAAGTTATACTGACAACATGCATATACATTTTGGTAGCTTATCTCATAAGAACTTCACAGTTAAGCAAGGATAAAACACAATAAAAAGTGAAATGTCGTAAAATAGACCGCTCTTAAGAGGCCAACATCCCTATCAACGTGTAGCGTTAATAAGAGGCACAAATTTCGTCAAAAATTTGTGACGGAGTTAATCTGCCATAAATTCCATCACAAATTTGTGATGAAATAAATCCGTCACAAATTGTGACGGAAAAAAGTCCCTCACTGAATTCATCACAATTTGTGACGGAAATTTATTAATTTATGAACATTTAATATTATAAATTAGTGACAGAATTTGTGATGCCTTAATTCCGTCACTGATTGTGACGGACTGAAATTATCTGTCACTAAATATTTTGTGACGCCAATTTTTGTGACGGAATCAGTTTCGTCACAAATTCCGTCACTAATTTATTTTGTGACGGATTTTAACATATTTAGTGACGGATTTTGTTCCCTCTCTAATTTTAATTTTTCTAGTAGTGGAAATATCTTAACTTTTTTATTTTCTAATTTTACACTTCTCAATTTAGAAGTTTTTTTTTTCTTCAGCACACTCCTTTTCCCTTTTCAATTTTCACATATACTCCTTTCCTTTCATCCTCACTCATACTCTCACTCATTTTAGTAGGTAGTTTTAATTCTTTCAATTTTCATATTATCTTTTTTCCTCTTTTCAATTTTCACATTATCCTATTTTCCCCTTTTAATTTCTATAAAATACTTTCTAGTAGTGTTTTTTTTTTCACATACTTTCAAAAAGTAATTCCAGAAACACTAAAATTATTATTCCAAAAATAACTTTTCAAAATTATATAAAAAAACTTTTTGAAATATTGAAAGCAAATTTCTAAAAAGTTTTTTTTCGAAAGTATGAAAACAATATAAATTCGACGAAATACCTCTATCGTCCATCATACACATGAGTGATCCACCTAACTCACAAAAAATTCAACCAATTATTTTTTCCTATTGTGCATAAGTAATATAAAATAAATTACAAATATATATATATATATATATATATATATACAAAATATAATTTAATATATTAATTTATATATTATATTTAATGTACGAAACAATAAAGGTTGAGTAAAAAATTAGGATTCAAACAAAGATAGAGTTAAAAAAAAATTTAAATACAAAAATTAGAAGGTATGACTGTGTGTTGATTATGAGAATGAAAAAATTAAGAACAAAAAATAAAAAAGAATAAAATCAAAAAATAATGATCAAAGAGATGAACTAGGGAAAAAAAAAAGAGGAAGAAGAAGAAAAAGAAATTAAATGAAAGAAGGGGGAGTGAATGCAAAAAAATAATTTTAAAAATAAAATTTAAAATAGAAAATTTATTAAAAGGACATTTTTAAAGATTTTTTATAAAAAAGGGATAAGAGGTGTATTTATGAAAAATAAGAGGTGTGAACAACTTTTTGTTTTTTTGATAATTTTTTGTACTTAAAATAAATTAAAAATTATTGTTAAGTAATTTTATAGTAGATATTTTTATATTTTAAAACATATTATTTATTAAATTGAATTATTTAATAAAATATTAAATAAATTTATAGTTTATGAAAAATTATAAAAAAATTATTTAATAAGAAACAAATTTAATATTTCAATAATTAAAAATTAATATACAGAAAGAAAATTTGAATACAATTATGTTTATAATTTGATCTCTAGCCTTATTTAAAATAAAATAAATGAGTGACAACAGACGATGCATCGTTTAATACTGGGGGTTTTGGCTTTGGGTTCAGAAAAACCCTTCTTTCTTTCTTTCCTAGTTCCCTCTGCTGCAACAACTTCCTCATACTTTCTCGCGAATTGAATGAAATTTGGGGGTGATGCGCTTCTGTCTTTCGGTTTAGGTAAGAAATTTCACTTCTTTCTCCATTTGTTAGATTGGGTCTGTTATTTGCTTCTGCTTTCTCTGCTTTATATGTTTTCCCCCTTTTCTCTAAATAATGCGGAAGAGCCCACCCAGTATCCCCATTTAATAGATTCTGATCCAAAGGAAACCCAAAATGTATTTTTTTTAAAAGGATAAGCTATATAAATGAAACAAAAATACATAAATAGGAAATTTGATACCTCGGATAATTCAAGCAAAGTATTTTGTTAGGATGAACATTAGAGCCTTGAATAATTGGATTTTGTTATTTATCACCAACTTGGATGTAGGTACATATGATCTTTGATGTAGAAAGCGCGGTGTTTCTAGATGCTATCACTTTAGTGTTTTGAGTTCTAGTATGTTGCGTTTATATGAATAAGTGAATAACATTGGAAGAAGATGAAGTGCTTATTTAGTTATCTTTTATGATTGAATCGCTAAACGTTATGGAACGTCAAACCTTTAGTTAAATGATATATTGTGTCAAATCTAAGAAGGAAGAGGCATATTTTATAGTTTTGCAAAATAGTTTTCAAAATTTTCTGCAGTATAAATACAGTGGTAATTTTGAAATGGAGAAACATGAAATGAAGAATATTTTCACTACTAAAGATGGCCTTTGCGTTTCTATGAAAGATAGCGGCCTCCCTCTCTATCCATGTATTCATTTTTCCTCTGTTTGTGTATCTGATGTTTTTGCATGTATCCAGGATGAAAATTTCACTGGTTCGGCCTCTCTTAACAAAGCGAGGATTCAGCTCAAGCTCTGAGAACCTTGTTGCGTCTGTGCTCTTTGAGAGATTGCCAGTGGTCATTCCCAAAATTGACCCTGTGGTTTATGCATTTCAGGAATTCTCGTAAGTTCTATCTCTACTTTCATTGACTATATATATATATAATGAAATTGTTCCAGAGAAAGATAAGATGAGTTGGGGACTTCACCTTTATTTAATCTTGGACTTGTAGTCATGGAAGATTTTAATCCAAGCTGAAACGTTGAACTTAAACTCACTCAATCTTGTGAATTTGGTTATTGCAAACTAAGGGCAGGATGAAGCATCCCGACACTATCTCTAGTATTTTTTAGATAAGGCCTCGCTGAATACCCTATTTTTCCACTTCAGATTATCTAAGAGAGAAAGGAAAAAAAACATATGTTCTGTTTCACAGCCTTATCTGTCTTCAGTGAATTATTGTTTGCCCAAATTATATGAAATTATAAAACAAATAACTTATGATATTAAATATCAACACTTTCTTCCTCTTCTGATTTTAAAAATGGAAATAAGAGGCTTAAGGCTTAAAACACGAGGACTTGCTATTAATGTTTCTTGGTTGAATGATTATGCTGTGGTTTGCTTAATGCACTTGAAGGACATGTTGCTATGATTGTTGTTCCCTTGTCTGTTCCATTTTCTTTCCTGATATATTGGGTTTTGAGGGTTAGGTTTCGATGGCGGCAACAATATCAACGCAGATACCCTGATGAGTTTCTTGACAAATCTGATGCAAGGTATACACACACAAAAGTAGGTCTATAATTTAAATGTTTTTTGTAATTAAAACTTGATTAATTTAAAGACAAAGATCATTAGTTTCTGTTATAATAGTACATAATATACAAAAAAAGTTATATCTGTAAGCTTTGAGAGAGTTGAAAGATGAAAAGTAAAATTATAAAAAATAACAACAAAAGCTTTACCCTGTGAAAAGTAAAATTAAGAATGAAATCTAAAGAAAATCAAGAAACTGCCAGTAGAAAAGTATTTTGTGAAATTGATTCATAACAAAGCAATTCATTGCTTTTGTTTCCCACAAAATTAATTATAATGGTTAAATAATAAAAACTAATGCTCCACGGGTTACATCAGTGTGTTGAAATGCAGGCAAATTAAATATGTTAAGTTTGAAGGAAACATGATTGAATTTAAAATGTCCAATTTCAATGAGGTGTGAATTACATGTGAAAAGCCTGCAAATAATCATGTGAACGATGTAAGAAATCAAATTATATTTTGACAAATATGCAGAAGCACTTGAAATATGGATGGTTTTGATAGAACTGATTCAGATTCTAAAGGAAAGAATGAAATTTTATTGATGAACCCTAAATCTCAATTGCTATACCAATGTAGTAGCAAAGTTAGGTTAGGCAGAAGATAATGATTGATGAGGACTCTCCCTGCAAATGACAAGATGCCTTTACAAACTAACAGATATTAACAACTAACTAACTCTTCACTAACAGATATTAACAACTAAAAATATTAACAGCATCTATATGATTGCGGTAACTTCGAAGCTGTAGTTTGAATATTTTTTAATCCAATTGAAATAGTGGAAGAACGTAAAAATTTGAGGAGCAATTTTTTTTTTTTTTTGAAGTTGCAAAAGTTACAGTTTAAAGCATGATTAACATGGATCAGTATAGTTAACATAAATAACCGTGCTACCTGAAACATTCTTGATCTGCTAGTTATATTTATATAAACTGTTAGTTAACTAATATATGTCTTTTCAACAACTATGCAAATTCGTGTAACTAATACTTTATATTACTATGTTTCAGAAAGTTTTGTAACAAATTCAGTGTAGTCATAATAATATAAATTATTAGTTAAAAAGAAAACAGATAAAACTATTAAAAAACAATCCTATGACTGTCTGGTAGTCATCAATATTTAAAAGAGGCTAGAAAAAAATACTTTTCTAAATTTTGCATGTCATGACCAAAATAGGAATCCATGACTAACTTGTAACTCAAAGAATAGTACAATCCTGTTTAAGAGTTGTTATGACTGACAACTGCAAAATAGAGATATGATCCTTATTTTTATCGAGTCTCATGAAAAATCTGTTACTTCCAGGGGAAAAGGTGATTATCAGATTGACTATGTACCAGCACCACGAATCACTGAAGCTGATAAAAGCAATGATCGAAGGTATGCACCAATTTGAGTCGACTGAACACTTCTGTAATTTACCATCAGGAAATATTTTTTCAATTTCTGGGATATATGAAGGAAAACGAATGCTACATAAGAGATGCCATCGTGTCAATGTCAAAATGATTTCTCTAATGAGATATTAATTTGGTTTTTATCCTCACCTCTTCTTCCGTGGGAGTGAGCAATTGTCTATTTTCTGTCTTGGTGTTTAGGTATGGATATTCATAATCAAAGACTTATTTAGTTTGTATATTTTATTCCCTTGCCTGCTTTATTGGTGATTATGTAATGTTGATGCAAGCTAGCCATGCGGATACATTCCAGATTCTTAATGCTCATTCAGCCTTTAAGAAAGGCTTCTTAGTAATGTTATACAGCTGTTATTAGTTATTACTGATAAATATTGAAATACATTTATGAGGGCAGGGGACAATACTCATTCTTCGACTTAGTTAACAGAGTCGAAGCTAAATATAACTTGAACACTGAACTGGGCATAGAAACTTATTTAGGCTATTTGCATATCTCTGTTTACGCCTTTAGAATTGAATATCGTATCAGACATAATTGCTGTGTAGTCAATTACATATTCTCTTACTATTTAGGTCATTACAAAGAGCTCTTGACAGAAGACTCTACCTTCTTCTGTATGGTAATGCATATGGGGCTCCAAGTGGGAAGCCTATGTGGCATTTTCCAGAGAAAGTTTATGAATCGGAGGACACCATGCGCAAGGTGAACATTGTTGTGTGGCTTTCCTCTTTTCATGTCCATGCCTTCTTTTCTCTTAATTTTTAAATTTTGCAGTGTGCAGAGTCTGCATTAAAATCAGTCTTAGGAGATCTTTCTAATACATATTTTGTTGGAAATGCTCCGATGGCCCATATGGTTGTTCAGCCTACGGAAGACCAGTCTGGATCCACATCCTTTAAGGTATAAATAATTTCTGGAAATTTATGGTACTTCTGGTCAATATTGGAAATCTTCCAATATGTTTGTAGTATATCGGTATGTGTTGGCATTTATGGAAGTTCATATGCATTTGCTTTGTTCGGTTTTACCTCATGATCCAAAACTAGCTTTCTCAATGCTTTTGTCTTACTTCATGTAAAAATTGATTATACTTGCTTATTTTTTCCTTTGCTGAAATCTTATGTCAGAGATTCTTCTTCAAGTCACAAGTAATTGCTAAAAACAAGTTCAATATTGGAAAATGTGAGGATTTTGTCTGGGTGACGAAGGATGAATTGATGGAGTATTTTCCCGAGCAAGCCGAGTTTTTAAATAAGATGTTCATTAGCTGATGACAATGGAGAACAGTTGTTTCATTGAATTTTTTGCAAGGTAGTTCCTATAACAACAGTGGAGGACCTTGAAAGAAGATCAAGGCAAGATACGAGTTTCTGGGCACATTAGAAGATTTTGATTTAAAGTTAAATGTGACATCTCTAATTTTGGAGACTTGTTATGAGTTAATGATGCTGGAATGTTTTCTGTTTAAAAACTTGTGTTTTTATTATTATTATTGTTTGTCATTTGTCTTTTCTTTCAGTTGTACACTTGTACTGTAATAAATAAGTTTCTGATGAAGATCTTATCAGTTTCTGTGGTGATTGTGACATTTTGAATATGGTTTCCAATTTTGTTGATGTAGTTTCTGTTTGGATATCTATATTATTAGTTCACTAACTAAGCTAGTTTTGGAGTCCAATGTAACACTTTTCTCCTTGCCAAGAATCTTCGCCCATCGCTTTGGTCTTTGAAATGAAGAATAGTACTGTCTTCATATTTCGTTTATATTTTATAAATTTTATATTAAAAATATGGTGTTAATGTGTTATACGTTGGAACTTGCTTCTCTCAAATAAAATGTTATTTGTACAGAAAATAGTTACAATTGTGTGGAGATTGGAGAATGAATTATTTGTAAGCTGTATAAAATAGTGTTGACGTAATTCGAATCTATTGATATTAATACTGTAAAGCATATTTTAGAGTTTTATGGTTTTTCATACCAATTATATAGCTACCATTACTCATGCCATTAATAATCATGAAAATAGAGTTTTGTGGAAGTCTAACGATCCTTGTAAATATACTATGTGCATACGTGCACTTTGATGCTTTGTTCAGCGATTCGTATAAGGATTTTGTGTCGTTCCTCTGAAAAAGGATTGTAAATATATATATATACACCCACACGACATCACAACGTCATCAAATTTCTTAAAATGAAAAGTCGAAAGTGTCAAAAGAGCTTGCAAATTGGTCAAAGCCTTCTTCGGTTGGTAAACAGTACAAGATTTCAACGTGCATACGTGAGAATATGAACATATGTCTCAAATAAAACTCTATTCCTGGGTAATTCAGGTCAGTTCCCTATGTTGCACACAATGCTAAATCCAACTAAATTTCACCTACTTCTGTTCAACTGCTCTTCAATTCAATTTACATGCTATGACACAAAAGAGAGAGAGAGAGAGAGGAGACGTGAGCACTGAGCAATATGTTCTCAGTTTCTTTCTTCGTATGTGTAGTGTAGCGTAGCTGCCCAACCTCTTCTACCTTCCACCATCTATCTGACCCTTTATAAATTTCAACCCCAAAACATTCTCATTTTTTGTTCACCCTTCAATGGAAAGCCAACAAGACCCACCACAAAATTCTCCTCTCTTCCCTTTCACTCCCGAGTCAATGATGCAAAACCCTTTGGAACCTCAAGGCTTGCATGATGATGACATAGACTGGGTTAACCTTTTCTCTGGCCAAAACAACTTCCTTGGGGATGCAAAGGCAATCATGGAATGCACTTCTTCATCTTCATCATCATCATCATGTGCTTTGATGGCTGAAAAGAGTGATAAAGAGAAAGGAAAAGGAGGCAGATTGAAGAAGACAACACAACCTAGGTTTGCCTTTCAGACGAGAAGTGCAGATGATATTCTGGATGATGGCTATCGTTGGAGGAAGTATGGCCAGAAAACTGTGAAGAACAGCATACATCCCAGGTGTGTAATTAATAAATAAACCAAATTTGCTTTCTTTCACGTTGCATGAATGCATGGTTATGTAATTTTCTAGCTCAAAGATGGGAAACAAATATTTGGAAGAGAATGATATTTAATTTTTGGTGAAGTGATGTTAGACTTTAATTATATACCCAAAAAAATAAAACTAGAATTAACAGGATGCATGGATATATGGAGTCATATATATGTATAAAGAAGTTATATCTGTAAAAAATTAAGAGTATGTTTTGGTACAAGTTAGAAATAATTTTAAGAACTTTCCTATTGAAAATAAAGAATCTTTTTCAGTAAAAAAGTCTTAAAAAATCTTATAAACTTATATCCAAAGTTCAAACATATTATAAGATTGAATTGCACGTATGTATTTTGCAATGTCAATTATAATCTTCTTAAAATAAAATTTAAACTTAAAAGTAACAAAAAAAAAATTATTCACACTATCAGAATATATATATATATATATATATGTGTGTGTTTGTGAACTTGG